CTCTCCCCATCATGATGGTTTTTATGCTCATTGTGTGAAAATTGTATGGAAATAAAGGATTGTTGATTGAGCATTTATACACCGAGTAAGTGTCCTTCCTTCAGCCCAAAGATTCAAAGAACTGGGAGAATTCAACACAGTGCAGCGGGGCCTCAGGTCCTTCTGTCGGGTAGTCCAGTTTACTGAAGAACACCTCAGGCTCTCAGGTTAAAACAGTCGGTCGTGTTTTCGAAGCGTAAACGCTGGCCCTCCTCTCAGAGCCTACGCTCTATCTGCTATTCCCGAACAGAGATATGCAAGTTTCTGCAGATGTCACTACTGTCATTGGTGGGACATGACAACAGCGCCACCTGCAGGAAGATTTTCTCTCTGTCTGATAGCTCATGTTCTGAGACCTGACATTTTTTTTGTGTGAGTCTGAGACCTGACATTTTTTCGTGTGAGTCTAAGGCTACGTCCACACGTACACGGGTATTTTTGAAAACTGAGATTTTCCGTTTCCGTTTTAAAAAATAATCCCGTCCACACGTAAACGCAGAAATGAAGGAAAACGTAGAACCTGTACTGACCTGAACTAACCTGTAGAAATGTTGGCCAATCAGAAGTCTAGAAGCCTCAGTGGGAAATAGTAAACAAGGATGGGGCATAGAAGCAGAACCGAGTCATATGTGTGGAGGGACAGTAACTGTGTGTGTATATGTAAGCATTTAAACACTGCAGAGAGTACAATTAACAGTAACAGTATTGTAGAAATTAATTTCACCGAAACAATAACGTGGCGCACAGTGTGACGTCAAAAAAGGCGCACACCTTTGACGCTGCGTTTTCTCCGTTTTCTCCGTTTTTCTCGTCCACACTTAAATGCAAAAATGGAGTTTTCAAAAATATCCACCCTGGCCGGAGTTTTTAAAATCTCCGTTTTCAGTGACCAAAAATGCTGTTTACGTGTGGACGAAAGGTGCAAACGCATAGAAAAATCTGCGTTTTCAAAAATACCCGGGTACGTGTGGACGTAGCCTGAGACCTGACATTTTTTCGTGTGAGTCTGAGACCTGACATTTTTTCATCTGAGACTGATACCTGACAACTTTTTTCCTGAGACCTGACAATGTCCTGAAATGTAGTGGTGACTACAAAGTCAGTGTCAACCAATGTGTTGAAGAGGAGAGATATCCACTTTCTAATACTGAAGATATGTTTGCTACTTTAGCTGGAGGAACATCCTTCAGTAAACTTGACCTTTCTCATGCCTATCAGCAGCTACAGTTAGACGAAGAATCAGAGAAGTATCTGGTCATCAATTGGGCTGTTCAATATAACGATATATATCGGATGACGATATAAAAACATCTATCGTTTCATTTTATGCTATCGTTTGTTTCGTGGTGTCGCAAAATTTTTTCATGGTTTTGATGGTCACTGTAGTGGCTATATTAACTTCTTAAAGTTCTCTCTTTCTCTTATATTTAATATAACCACACTACAGACGGACAAGCGCCTGTTTTTATGTGTTGTCATTAGCAACAACGACGGTAAAACCACAGCGTGTCCGCCTGTTTATTTTCCACATAAACCTTTCACAATAAAGCTCAAGATCCTATTGAGACTTTTCAAAATAAACTGAATCACGTGAAAGAGTATGCAGAGTATTTACGGATGAGAAGCAAAAAAGAGCTGTCAGGTGCTAAAAAATAGACCTTAGACTCAAACATTAGAACAGGCTTTTCCCTGCAGCACGCCGTGTAATAAATACTCACAAAGAAAACGGTGGCCGTTACAACTAAAAATGTATTGTTTCATGCATCGGTTAAAACACTCGACTCCAGGTACACGACGCCCAGCTGGAAACACTTCACGCAAGTCGAGCTGCCCAAGATTCACAGAATTTACAGAAAATGTTACATTTTTGTGATTTATATCGTTATCGGGACGATAGATGTCTTATATTAGGATAGGAGATTTTGGTCGTATCGCACAGCCCTAGTCATCAACACACACAAAGGTCTCTATAAGTACCAGGAAAGACTGCATCTTTTAGAGGAAAAAGTAGCAGCCATAACAAATGCACCAGAAACAACAAACGTCACTGAACTGAAGTCTTTCCTGGGTCCTCTAAATTACTACAGTCGATTTCATTTCAAGCATGTCAAGATGCAAAACGTCTACTGCTGCAAAACAAAGTGTTGGCGCACTACAGCACAAACCTGCCATTGAAGTTAGGCTGCAATGTGTCACCTTACGGGGTGGGCGTGGTCATTTCTCGTGTCATGGAAAATGTAGAGGAAAGGCCCATGGCATCAAGGACTTTAACTGAAGCTGAGCACAAGTATGCCCAGACGGGAAAAGAGGCCCTTGCCGTAATTTATGGAGTCAAGAAATTCAATAAATATCTGTATGGGAGGAAATTTACCCTCATAACAGATCACAAGCGACTGCTGGCTATACCAGGACCAAAGTCAGCTGTCCCAACACTTGCTGCACTAAGGATGCATGCTGGGCTCTTATTTTAATGGCATACAACTATGACATTGAAAACACAAGATCAGAACATGCCAATCTAGATGCATTGTCACGTTTACCTCGCAACACGCCAGACAACACTCCAGAGGAAGGCAGTATCTTCTATTTCTCACATGTGGAAGAGCTACCAATAGCAGCTGGTTGAGATTGAGAGAGCAACCACGAAAGACCCAATTCTCAGCTGTCTGGAGCTACACCATGAATGGGTGGCTGAGTTATGTGCAAGATAATCACTTAAGCCTTACTTTACACGCAGACAAGAGCTGTCAGCAGAACAAGGATGTGTTCTTTGGGGACAATGAGTTATCATTCCACCAGTTTACCGACAGAAAATACTGGAAGACCTGCATCATGAACATCCAGGCCTCTGTCGTTTGAAAGCACTTGCCCACAATTACCTGTAGTGGCCAGGCTGTGATGGTGATACACAAGAACTGGTTCAAAGCTGCTCAGTCTGTCAGGCTGTACAGAAGTCACCAGCCGTTGCACCACTCTATCCGTGGAAGTGGCCCGAGAGAGTTTGGCAATAGATTCACATTGATTTTGCTGAAAAAGACAACCAGTACTTTTTAGCTGTCATTGACAGTCATTCAAAAATAGTTGGAAGTGTTTCCTATATCATCCATTACCTCACACAATACCATTGAGGTTTTGAAAGGGTTATTTACTTCATATGGACTTCCAGAAGAGCTTGTTTCAGACAGTGGACCTCAACTTGTGTTAAAGAAATTCAGTCAGCTTTTGGAGTTAAATGGGATCAGTTACACAGCTGTACCTGCATCCCGCTTCAAATGGAGCAGCAGTGAGGTCAGTACAAATCCTGAAACGATCCCTGATGAAGAATGTGCTGGAAGCAGATGGTAAAGCCACATTGCCACTCAGTCATCGACTGGCAAACTTCCTTATCATGTGTCGCAGTACAACGCACACACCAGAAGAGTTGTACCTGAAATGTCAGTTCCAGACTTGTTTCAGTTTGTTCAAGCCTGAACTAACCACACACATTGAACACAAACAGTCTGAGCAGAAGTGACGCCATGATCACAGAACCCAACCCGTTTTTTCGGAGGGAGACACTGTGCGTATCAGAAACTTTGTGGGGGGTGTCAACAAAATGGACTCATAGAACAGATCTGAAGAAAATGGGAAGTGTTACTTACCTGATATAAGAGGGACAGAGAACACGCACAATACATGTTGACCACCTGTTATCATGGAGACAAACTGTGGAGAAACCCCCAGTTATATCTTCACCAGCTCCAGAGGGATGACCAGAAGTGATTCTGGACTGTGTTGTTCTAGAGATACAACCAAGTCCACCTGGGAATTTAACATCACACCCCTTACCTGCTGAACCACCTAAACAGACAACTGATGAACCACCAGTATCAACCCCAGAAACCGCCCAAAGCCCATCTTTAACTGCCATAAATGTCAATTATGTCAATTTGTTTAATTTATTGTGTTCATGTATGTTTATTTCCTTTATTTATTGTTGTTCCTTTTGGGGTAGGAACTGAGGTTCATTCTGTGTTGCGCACAGGCCCCTTTAAGTGACGTAAAGGGAAGTCAAAAGCATGTGCAAAGAATATAAGTTAACTAAGTCAGAAGAGGAAATAAATAAGCAGTTTTAAAGTAAAAGAAAGCTGCGAAGAAGAATAAGAAGAAATTGGGAATTATTTTCGTTAAGTTTTTGTTCCTGAAGCGGACTCATTCCCTCACGGTTACGTGCAGCCAGCGAGGTATGTTAACTGTGTTTGTTTATCGCGTATTTGTTAACTTGGGTTTATTCATTCATTTGTAATATTTATGTTTGGTCATTCTGTATTTTTATGTAATGACAGTTTGACGGTGGATTTTATGGTGTTTCTGAGGAGAAGTGTGACGGAAGAATAAATCCATCTGTGAATGAAGAACCGTGGTGTCGTGTATTAACTGGAGGGAGTGATACCATCTGTGGAACACAGATACCCAGAGAGAAGCAGAGTTCCTCCAAAGAGACTGAATCTTTGAAAATGTAGAAACTATGATTTAGTTATTTACTGCCAGTTAATTTGGAAGTGAAACAGCTTTAGAGTAATGAGAGCAATGGCTACATTTGTTCATTGTTAGTAAAGGCAGTAGAATATTTTATTGGCAGTCAAAATACATTTCTTAAAGAGTTTACTTATTTGAATTAAAAATCTAAAAGGGAAGGGATGTAATAGAGTGAACTGTTGCCCCCCTGTGGTAAAAATACAGAAGTGCCTGTTCTTGGTTGACCAACATATAATGAAAGGAAGCTTGTAGACCACTAAGGAAAAACAATAGTTCTGAGTTGGTATGTCCTGCTGTTCAATAAAACTCGTATTCACGTCCTTCCTTCCTGATACTTTCAAAGAGCCTAACCCACAATGTTCTTGAGCACCTTCAGAGGCAGATAGCATGTCTAAGTTGTATTCTTTACCAGAGTGTTAATGTGACTGGACAATTTCAGATAACTGTGAGATGTGAACACCAAGGTATCTGAAATTGTCTACTCTCTCCACTGGAAGACTTCCATTCTTCGCCAGATCGTCTGCTACTCTCAGTGGTAACTCGGCCTCCATGTGTGAACTCAAGTTTGTTTTTTCCTAGTGTTAATGTTTATCTCCCTATGCTGCAGTCTCCGCTAAGGACCTATACTTCTATGCTTCCATGGATCACAGGATAACCATCCTACTAGTCATTCCTGCAACATCTGTGGCTGCTGAATGACTCACCTGTTAGCGTGTTATCAGATCTTGGGATTTTTAGAGATTAGATGAAACTTTATGAAACCCTTGGGTGGGTTCCTCTGGGAAATTGAGTTTTCAGTAGCACTGCACTGACAGAAGTTGCATGTTACAGATACAATAAAGGGGAATGAAAGTAAGGATATGAGCATAAATATACCATATACACATATATAAATACAGAATATATAATAGGGATAAATAGGAATACCAGTGGATTGCACATTTGAGTGAGTCTATTTGGGAAAACTGATGATGTTGGTGATCAGGAGTTGCTCGCCATAAAGTCGTCACAGGAAGATTGGAGAGATGTGCTGCAGGGCTCACAGTATCCAGTCATGCTTTGGACAAATCACAAGAATCTTGCCCATCAGCAAACCGCAAAATAATTAAACTCCCATCAAGTCAGGTGCGCCCTGTTCTTTACACACTTACACATTTTTCCATAACTTGTTTATTGATCTGACTGGATTTGATCTTCTTTTCATGTTCTTTTTTCTTTTTTTTTTCTCAGAATTGAAGTCTGAAGGCCAACAAAGATACCCAACAGATTTACTTTGCCAAGTGGGTCATCACTGTTAAGAGGCTTGACCGAGCCATGGGCGCCAGGTCCTGTCAAGCAGCCACCGGAAGTAACCTGGTACATACCTGATCGCCCAGCCCCAAACACCAAGAACCACCAACGCATCAACGCCTGAGGGCATCAGCCTCCATACTTTGGAGGGCTTGAGTGGAATGCCTCCCCTGCACCCTGGTGACACACCTGCAAGCCAAGGCACTGCATGTGTGGGTGGGTGTGGTGGAGCGAGAAGAGGGAGGCAGTCGGGGATGGGGAGAGAAGGAAGTGAAGGGCAAGCAGCCCCTCCTTGGGGCCAGCTCCCCCGCTGACCCCAGTAGGCACCACCGCCCTCTGGAACCCACCAAGGCGAGGGGGCCCAGGCCCATCCAGACCAGAGCCCATGGCAGCAGCACCGCCAAGCCCCACAGGACCCGGGGCAGCCCACCTGAACCCACCACAGGGGAAACTGTACCCACCCCATCATTCAATCAACTCCCAGGCTACACAAGACAATAGACACCCAGGTTAAGTCTATTCTCCACCTCTCCTATGTCTCTTCCCCACCTGCAGAATGAACTCCTGCAAGGAGGAAACAGCCTCCCTGCCAGTTGAAGAGCCCCCCAGTTTGCCGATGCACCAGAGGCCCCCTGCGCCAGGGCTGAGTCCCCATGTACCCACCCGCCCACAACCTCGGCGACACACCAATTAGGACCAAAGCCCCCGAGGCACAGCCAGAGTGCCAGCACGGAGGCGCATCACCCCCAGAACTCCTAATTTATTTTTGGCAAGACCATCATTTTTATATCAGCGACCCTTCCCATGAGTGAGATGGGTAGAGATTTCCATCTAGCCAAATCACCTTCTACTTTCTTTAGAAGTGGGATGTGGTTTAATTTAGTTAAATCTGCAAGCTTAGACATTAACACCTAAATATTTAATATTTCCAGATTGTAGTGGGATAGAAGAAGAATTATGGAAAGAGCAATTAATTGGAAGAACTGTAGATTTTGACCAGTTAATTGAATCTGAAACTCTTGAAAACAAGTTTATTAGTGTAATTAGCTGAGAAAGGTTGGTTTGTGAGTTTTGAAGAAAAAGAAACACATCTGCATAGAGACTGATTGTATGTTCTACTTACTTGCATTTTATGCCCTTAATTGTTGTAGCCTGTCTAATTGCTGTGGTTTGATAAAATTGCAAACAGTGGGCATCCTTGCCTGGTGCCCCTCAGGACACAGAAGCTGGAGGATGTTTGGTCATTTGTTCTGACACAAGCTGTTGCGGAATTCTATATAATTCTAATATTTTTAGCCAGTTTATGAAAGAGTTTCCAAAACCAAATTTGTGTAAAGTTGCAAATAAAAATTTCCAGTTAACTCTGTCAAACTCTTTTTCTGCATCTAGAGACAATATTGTAGTTTCAATGTTTTCACTGCATGAGTAGTCTATTAAATCAAGCAATCTACGTGTATTTGTTGATGAGTGCCTGCCTTTTATGAAACCAGTCTGGTCAGTTAAAATTAAAAGGGGGGTTATCTTCTCTAATCTTTCTGAGAGAGCTTCGCAGATTATTTTGAGGTCTACATTAATAAGGGATTTTGGATGATAGCTTGAGGGAAATCAGGAGTCTTTGCCTGGTTTTAGCAGGAGACTAATATTGGCAGAATTCATATTTGGTGGTAGTCTGCCATTTTCCTTGATTTTCTGCAACATTCTGTGGAATACTGGTGCCAGAACTGTCCAGAATTCTTTGTAGAATTCTGCAGGATAACTGTCTGGATCTGGAGCCTTATTATTGGGCATACTTATCAGGGCTTCCTGGAGTTCCCCTGGTGTCAGTGGCAAATCCAGTGCCATTGCTTGACGGTCTAGTAATTTTGGAAGAGTTACGTTGCCAAGAAACTGGTCAATTTCATTTTTAGATGGGTTTATTTGTGGTGACTATAAAGTTTCATAGAAATCCCAAAAAATGTTGTTTATTCTTTCAGGATCATATATTGTGTTCCCAGATAAATCTTTAACAGCACATATAGTTGTTTTTTCTTTATTTATTTTTAACTGGTTAGCTAGAAATCAACCGGATTTGTTACTGTGTTCAAAATTCTGCAAGCAGTCTTTGAACTAGGAAATGAGGTTTTTTAATTAATAATTTCATTTAATTCTAGTTTTGTCTTGCATATTTTGTTTGGTATTTCCTGATATTGGTCGGACACGTAGACTTCTTCTAGGGATTTGATGTTTTTTTCTATTTACTGACTATTTTTGTTTTCTTCTCTCTTTTTATGTGATGAGAAAGAAATTATTTTACCTCTCATCATATCACAACTGATGTTCCAAGGGTGCCATTATAGTCTAAATATAGATTCCACTCTTTTTTTTTTTTTAAATATTTAATAAAGTCTTCATCTTTGAGCAGTGATGTGTTAAATCCCAGTTTGTACTTGGTGAAGTGTTCTTCTTATGTATTACTGTTAGACATAATAGGAGCATGATCGCTGACAGCTACAAGGTGTATCTCAGGGTCTGAAATGTTACTCAGCAGTGAGCTGCTGATTACGAAATAATCCAGACGAGAGTAGGAGGGATGGATATGTGAGAAGAAAGAATATTCCTTACTGTTGGGGTGAAGGGAACACCATGCATCACAAAGACCACAGTCGCTCATATACTGTTTGATTATATTTGTGGACTGACAATTACGCTGAGTTCCTGTTGTGTTGAGCCTTTTTTCATATTCTTAAATTCTTGTTTTAATAGTCTACAGTTGTGGACTGTGCACGCTGGCTGTGTATTTTTGTGATGTAACCAAACCTTTTCTGTCCCTCTCAAAAAGCCCAAGGAATCACAAGAACAAAGACTTTTTTTCTTAGCTGCAGAGTTCCCAATGTACAGCCTCAAGATATTTTGTGGACTGAAGAAGTATGAAGGTCAGACAACTCAGCAGACTACACCTGATTAAACAGATTAATTTGTGCAAAAGAAGAATGCTTTTTAGCTTTAGCACCAAAAATGTGTCCTTTTTTTTCCCCAATAGGCCTAGAGTGAGAAGTTTCCTAAAAATTCAAACCGCAATGTCCTGTCCTCCTGTTCCACATACATTTATATTCATATTTCAACTGGCTAATCCCATGAAACTCCACAAATTTAGCTTTCTTTTACTTTACCATGTGGTGAGGGTCCTGTGACCAGGAGTCAAAATTTGGGATCAGGTATGCAGTCACAGGCAGCTTGCAGCCCCACCTAGCAGATTGCCTGCTGTTGTGTTGACTGAGAACTGCAGCAGACAAAGAATGAAAAAGCATGGATTCCCTGGTCCAAAGGCCCGCACAGTGGGCTTTGCACTCCCTGACTGGCCTAGAGAGAAAGGAATGGCTCAGTCAGCAGGCCAAGGCCACTGAAGCGATGAAAAGATAATTCAACACCCCCACCCCCACCCCCCGCCACCCCCCACAGCTCCTGGACCTCATGCAGCGTCAAACCATTTGTGAGCAGTGACAGAGCCAGATTGGGCCGAAAGGATATGAGTGGGAAACTTCAAAACCTGCTCATATTTCTGTGGATGTGAAAGGATTTGTATAACACATTCAGTTTTGATGGACTTTCCCATGTTCAATCCAGACAACCCTTTTTGTTGACACGTTCAAATAATGAATCTGTTATGTGTATGGTCCCTTTTTCCCTCCTGCTCATGAGTTCTGTTTCTAGTTGTCAGGTAGGGATGCTGTGCAGACCACTACATCGTCTGTCCCAGGCTTATGGAGAACCGCTCACTTGCTGGCTGCCAGGAACCAGGGTGAGTAGTTCTCCCTCTCACAGAACAACTGTGTGCTTTTGTAGGTGAGGGTTTTATTAACTACATAATCTGCTACAAACTAGTTTTAATTTAGCAGTTTCCAGAGGACTTTCAATCATTGTAATTGTCACTGAGGCCTCATTTAAAACTGTATCAGTTTCTTATAACTTGCCAAAGCTGTGGGTGCTCAGTGAATGTATTTGGTAGGAATATAAAAAATGTTCAACTTGAGGAAAACTGTTAATCTTCCCTCCTGCCATTAGTGCATGTAAAACAGATTTTACTTTCTGTCTTCCTGCATGAGACGTTGTATTTTCTAAAGTGAAAAATGAATTTTAATTCAGTTTTATTTATATAGTGGCAATTCACAACAACAGTTGCCTCGGTGCACTTTATACTGTAAGGTAAAGACCCCACAATATAAAACAAATGGCGTTGATTGGATTATTCACATTACATTATTGATCTGTTTCAGGTGCTGAAATGGAACATATATTTGTCATTTTTTTAATGTTTAGTAAGGCCTTTTCAGTTGGAGCTCAATTCAATGGATACAACTGTGATGCAAATTTTCACAGCCGCTTCCCTGGTGAGGACTTAAAGACTTTTGTTTTGTGAATAACTGAATAGAAATTATGTTAACATTCTAAAAATGTGAAAAAAAATTCTTTTGGACTACCTACATGTTCCAAAGATGAGATGATAAGTTTTTTGGACACCAGTATTATGACATACAAAACTAAATGTTACAGACTGTAATCCCAGAAGTTAAATCTTTCTTTTTTGGGGGAAAATGTACTATTGTAAAATACACAATTTATGTACATTTTTATGTACATTAGATTTTTTGGCTTCTTTTCCAGCTGAGAGAGATATCAGTGTATACTGTGGGGTCCAGACCATTACCCTCAAGATCAATTTTTGCCCTGTTCTCTTCTCTGGCTACACTGACACCGACCTAGCCCTTAATGGTCGCCATGGAGACGCCCACTGCAGAGGCTTTATCAATAACAACACCTTCCCCACTGTTGTAATCTTTAGCATCAGCCTGGCAACACTTGAGTCCTGTGGTAATTCTTTGGTGGTAGGAAAAACATTTTTTCTTTGTATTAACTGCTCTTACTAAATTATATACACACACACACATATATATATACATATATATACATATATATACACACACACACACACACACACACACACATATATATATACATCTATTTACTGACTATTTTTGTTTTCTTCTCTCT